GACATTTTTTACTCCTCTGATATGTTATTTTTAGGCTATCATATCTACCAAGCTAGGACCTTGACTTTACATGTAATAGCTTCAAGTCTCTGGTTTAGGTAATGGTACCGGCTCGCTACAGGCGCCGTGGAGAGTACTTTTCAGATGTACTGCCGTGGATTGCCATAATGAGTCTATCCGGACTTCAATCCTACAGCCCCACTAGTATGGAACCAACCATACATTCTCACCAAAAATAGGAAAGGTATTATATCATAGACAGAAAAGAAAGGCATCACTAGTAGACACTAAAAATAGAGGAAAGGACTATAACAACAAATACTAATCTCCTCACCCCCCCCCCCCCCCCAACCTCAGTGGAGTAAGAGAATTCACTGAGCAAGCCTTATCCTTATTTGAAAGGTCCAAGGAAACTCTACAACATTAACAGAGGCCAACCTGAGCATTACTGGCCCCCATGAGAGAATGATAACTGGCCAGACGAGCGATGCAACCGCAAACAGTGCATACCAACGATATATCGCCCCAGCGTTCCATTTGGTCCAGGGCGATTCAACCGGATGCAGTAGTTCTTTGCTTGTTATAGCTGTGTAGGCGAGGGTACCACCATTCATGATAGAAGAATGGTATTTCTGTGTTCCCCAACTTTCTACATTAAAAGGTTGATGTCTACGGGTGGTATGCGAGACAGCAACGTCCTCCGGTTTGAATGGTGCTATGCAATATAGAGACTAACAAAGGAGTAAATTTAAGTTAAGAGGCACCAAGCTCACAGTTGTCGCAATGGGTCTGCGCTTGGCGAAGCCTAATTTACACCCAGAGTACTGTACTCGTACTGTATGATAGATGTGTTGTCCGGAATGCGTTATATGCAATGAGTGGCTTATAAATGAAGGCTGGCATGGAATGATGACTGCTCTGGACTATGAAATTTGCATATATTGGCTCATTTTGTTATTGTCGAGTGAGGGGTTGTGATAGGATTAAATTGTCGATCGAGACTCACGGCAATAATAGCCAAACTCGAGTATGGCGCAAGGCGAGAAGGGTGAGTTCGCTCGCACCATTACCGGAATTCATCCATCCCCACACGCAAGCCGCAGCCCGAACCTACAAGCTCTGTCCCTCCCCACTACCGGTGAGCCACACATACCGCAAGCCAGTGCACGAGTACCGCAGCAATACAGGCAGCACCGGTATGATAGATCTCCCACAACACAGAAGTATATATTAACCCTGTTTTTGAATGGACGACGGCGGGCAAAGAGGAATTAGTTGATCGCCGCAGCCGATTCCGAATGGCTTATTGCCTAGGAAACGCCATAGGCCCATCAGGCAGTGATCCAGATCGGTAGTTGTAGGCCATGGGAGATAAGAAATGAGGGTAAGCAAGCAAGGTTTTCGAGTTAGAAGCCAGTGTATCTCGTGCAAAGTCCAAGCACAGCTCGTAGGATACCTGAGCTCGCAAGGTGAAGGCCCAGCCCAGGCACGGGCTAGCTTAGTACACGTCACGAAAGCAAAATACGCCTCTGGACGGCACAAGCAGGGCTACAGTAATTCATCATGGTCGCTCACAACTGGGTTTAAATGCACACGGCCTTCGAAAGCAAACAAACTGAATTCGATAACCTCTGAGAGGAAAGTAGGACACCTTGTGTGATGGGGAGAGCACACGACACCGCCGATAGCCAAATACCCCCTTCCAAATATCCATCGACCAGTAAGGGCTCAGCTAACTTCATGTCAGAATTACCCCTCAGGAATGCTTTTATCGATGAGCGTTGGTAAGGCCATCACCATAAATTAAGGCATAGCAAGATTCCCCGTTGGTCAACATCGAGAGTTCATTTGTGAATAGCAAATCGCCGTCTACCTCCCCACCGTGGCGAAAAGGCTACGACGTGATAAAAACACCACCCGCGAGACTTGGATTGAATTATCGCGGCTCGCACAAGTATCCCACAGGGACTGATACTGCCCCGGGCTACTGTATTCGCCGTTGAGGTTATTCCAGCTCATATGCCCTGTCATTACAATGTTACCACCGCTCGGGCCCGGTCCCAAATCAATATCCGTGAGTGATACACCGTGAATACAAGTTATGTGATACTTGGTATGATAGTTATGCCTTGCATTGACCGCCCCGTTTACTATCCAACAGAACATCCTTCACACACAACGGTACTCCGCCCCACAATATACCTCCAAGATATCAGCGCTACAATTTCATAAACACGAAAAACCCAAGCCCACGTACCCAATCATCCAACAACACCGCCAAATAATAGTCAAAAATAGAACAAAACCTTTAATATCACTCGTAGCTCAAATCACGCACCCCCGCTCCCACTCGCATTGTCACTTCCATTCTGTTTCCCATCTTCGCCACCACCACCCTCCGCTTCTTCATCCACCCCCTCCACCTCAGCATCATCATCGTCATCTGCATCCTGAATCCCCAACCATTGTTCTACTTCACCGCTCTCACCATCATCACCTACTCCCCACTCACCAATCACGTCCCATCGATCTCCCGCAGCGCTTTTACTAATGTACTTGACAAACCGGAGGACTCCTGTGTCTCTGAGAACTATCCCTAGGCGGTTCCAACTAGCCGGCATGGTGAATAGTATGCCGTCGTCCTCGTTGTCGCGACCAGAGCGGTAGATGGCTGGATCAGCCTTCTTTCTCTTTCTATTGCTTTTGAATGCCTGATCAGGATCGTCTTCTTCGTCCGAGTCCGAGTCAGAGTCGCCGGCCATATACCTAGGTTTTTGGAAATATTAGTGTTGGGGAGAAATTAAGGTAAAAGAGGGGCGGGGCTGGTTACATTTCGTAGCCGCCGACTGTCTTTTCCGAGTCGTCGAATTTACTATGCCTAGGAACTTTAACCTTGCCTTTCCCCTTCGACTTGCCATTTTTCGCCTTGTCCTCCTCCTCATCTTCCTCTTCATCGTCCTCACCACTCCAGCCTTTTGATGGGGTGATTCCAAGACAGACTTCAACTCTCAATCCAGCTCCTGGGGATGGGTCTTCTCCCTCTCCCTCTTCCTCCTCGCCATCGCCGTCCCCGTCTCCACCAACACCAGTTGCAAGAGTGTAATCTAAACCTCTACGAAACCTTCTGGCAAGAAAACCCCCAGCTGTGATTTTGAGACCCGTAGCAAGTCGTAGCAGCTTAGCAAAAGATTTAGATGGAAGTAAAACAGTAAGCAATTGCTCGATAGGATTGAGCTCGTCAGGATCAACCCCATTCTTAACCGGGGGTTTTTGAAGATAAAGATAACGATGCTTGTGCGGAGGCAAGGCAACTTTCCATCCCTCCGAGTTTTCTGGTGAGTATTGCTTAGCATCACGAGCTTTAACAAACTCCTTAAGCTTCCTAGCAAACGATTTAGAAAGGAACTGCGCGATCTGGACAGAAGAATCCTCGGCGAAGGCGTCAGATAGGCTTTCCAGGGTATCAGGAGTCAGGTAAGTAGGAGCGATAAAATTGAGCAAGAAGTCTAGATCTTTCTCAGTCAATGCCGCTCCGTCCTCTCCGTCCTCTCCGTCTTCGTCTTGTTCCTCTCTATCCGGCTCATAGCCGTTCTTGATCTCTAGTGGTTTAGGATAATCGAAGGTATCACTCTTGCTTTGTAATTGCTGTAGGGAGCTCTTTTCAGCAAGTTCTTCCTCGAGACCTTCAATATAGCCCCCCTCGCCTTCCTGGGGAATGTGGAACCATCCGCTGATAGCCATTCTGATCCGCTCATCTTCGCCTTCCGGGGCATACACCTCTTCGACATCGTGAAAACTCAGGCCAGGCTGCACCTCAAAAAAACTTAATTGATTCCAAGCAGGCGGAATAGCTTTGGCCCACTCTGGCTCTGGAACTCTCGTAACACCATCTTCGGCTACTCTGGTCGGATATAACCTTAACGCCCCACCCCAGGAAGGCTGCCAAGGATCATCAGGTGAAGTTAGGTATAAGATATATGACACACGGCGAGACCCAATTACATCGTCATGAGCCAACAAATGAGAACCAGGTGTATAGACATTGATGGCCATATCGGTTTTCTTTCCGCTAAGTGGCCCACACCCAGTGATCCCACAAACGTAGTCCCTGAAAAGCTTAGAATAGAGCGAGTCGCGGAGCTGGCGGAGGGATGGAAGAAGCTTAAGAGCAGATTTAGGAAGACCGTCGAGATTAGCCAGGTCACCGGATTGATGGATACGATAGATGTCGGTCTCCTTTGGCGTGAACTCCACGTTTTGGAGTACCTCTCGCCGAACGTTACGAAGCAAAGTGTCGTCGATCAGGCCATGGATCACGGCGTGTTTGTACCTAAGCCTCTCCAAATCAGCCCTCAAACAAAGCAAGGCACAAAGACAAAAACGCGAAATCCCGGGGGGGGGGACAAACGGTTGGGCGGTAGCATATTCACTTCGGTATTTGCCTTCGACAGCCTCGTCGAACAGCCCGTCTCGGAAAAAGGGCTTGAAATCAGTCGGTATCGATCCGGCGGAGGATTTTCCCCTCTTGGTAGGCGATTGGGGAGCAGATGCTCCTTCGGCCTTTCGTTTGACCATTGTTTGTCAGGAATTGAGTTAGAAGGAACAAAGTTCCAGTGTAATTCTCGGGTTTGGTTAGAAAGTCCACTGGGATGGAAAAGATCGTAACAGGTCTTTTATTTCGTCGCGCGTGCAAACATTACCCTGCCTCGAGGTGATAAGCGAGCGCACGGACCAAGTGGGGCAAGTTGAGCCGCACTAATAACCCTAATTCGATCATTTCATAACATTCATCTCATTTCGCCGTTCTGTCTTATTATGCTGGTGGAATTTCACGTTAAAACACCCTTTCGAGAGCACGAATATAAGAGAGTGGCTGAGCGCCAACCGAGCCACCCATGACTAATTCGGAGCCAAAGCCACATCCCGAAAGAGAACCCTGACGGAAGTTGTTGTAACGGAGCGAGTGATGCATAGTGATCGTTTGTGACTACCGGTATTCCGGCAGTACAGGAGTCAGCCCACGCCCTCCCGCCATGTACAGTACCGTACCGGTGGGCAATGCTGGTGGGGGTATGGAAATCGTGGGTTGCAGCGTTGGTTAATTTTCGTGCATTATAATAACGTCCGAAGATTTAATGATAAAGAAAAGAAAATACATAATATTATTATGATATTCTTGTCCTCAAACTAACCTAAAGCGAAGGAGCTTATGGGGAAGGATCCGCTCTTGTTCCCTTTTACCCCCTTCATGCGCTCTCACTCTGTGCTTTCAGCTCCCCCTGGCTACCGAAGTACTGTGCCGGTATACCAGTACTAGTATAGCGCTCGAGTACCAACCCCGAGGGGCAAGGAAAACAACAATACATTCGTCCCAGGCAAGTAACCAAAAACAGGGATTAAGGAAATATATGGCAAAAAATCTGTGGGTATCCGAGCACCAATTCAAAACGCGCTCCCCCGTTTTTCGGATCCTTCGTGCCTGTTACCAGCACTAACAGGAGAAATAAGAATAAAGGGAACGGACATCTCCGGTGCTACCGATCCACTGAGATTTCCACCCCCTAAAACTAAGCACGCCGACAACCCAACAATTGCGCAACACAACTGCCCGGGATCAGTAGCCCTAGTATCGTACTTGCATCTAGAAATAATTATCACCATCTAAAAAAAAAAACTTGCCTCATTCCCAAATAATTTTTGCTACGATAGACACCAGCACGAGTACGAGTATAGGTGTGTTAGGAAGGAAGAAAAGCCGGTACCGTAGTTACACATGACCATAGGTGGACCTCACGCGCATTGCGCTGAAACTGAGTGATCGCTTAAGTAAAGTATGATATTCACGCTCGAATACCGGTAAGGTAGTACTTGTAGGACCAGCGGTCACGACGGTGAGTATGAAACCAGTAGGGTTTTCAGAGCTAAAAAGGTTGGAAAACTGATTTTTTTTCGGTTTACTCAGCTGTTTCATGTAAACTTGGCGCAGATAAAAGTTGTTACAGGTGGTTTACCCATCACTCTTCAATATAATATCATACAATGATAGTAATTTACTATGATATTTCACCCGCAAGTACGATATAGAAGTCAAAAGATCGATAGCGACAAGAGAACTCTGGTTAGCGGAACGTATCGGACTGAACTCAGAAATGGCACATGGGGCAAAGAGAGGGAACAGGAAGGGTCAAGAAAAAATTGTCTACCATATTTGCTGAAAAGACGCTTAGCCCCAAGGGTTCATTGATGAATATTGAGATTTTTTTGTACCTGCAGGATCTACTAAATACAACCTACATTCTCTACTCGTGTAGCTATAATATAGTTGCCTTGCTGCACTCGAATATGCTACCAGAAATGTGGTAATATTATTGGCTACAGCAGCAAGGTAACCTAACGCAACTCCCTGCGTCTGCTCGACATCGAAAGATCCCCTTTTTGATTTTGAAAGCCCCTAGCACCGGTACTGTTTGTCCCTCGAGGGATAGAATGCAAGTACTATTCAGCTCTTTATGACACTGCAGCCCTTCCTTCCTAGAGATAGGAACCAGGCACAAAACAGCTCAAAAAAACGGTAGCTTTCTGAAGCAAGAAGTAATGCTGTGCTCACGGCGATTGGGCTGTAACTTTCCAATTGCAATCAACAGCTATTTGTCCACCGTACTTCTTCTACCACTCGTTGGAGACCCCTTGTCATAGTTCCGCAGACGCAGTACAATACATAAATTTATGCGCTTGTCATACAGATAATCCGGACCAGGACTTCAATTGCAGCTATCTCCGGAGGTGAGTTGTTTGGCAGCTGGGGGCTCGTATTTAAGTATAGTATGCACTGTACTGTACACGTACAGCCCCAGAACCTGTCACCGTGGGATCCCCTATCTTTCTTTACCCACTCTTTCCAACGGTTGTAATTTAGAAACGGTCGTACGATTAATTTCCCTTACGACTAGAATGAGGGGTGGGGGGGTAAGTTGGATGGTTGATTTCCCTTCGATCTTGTAGTGTTATTAAACTTATTGTCATAGCATGGGACGGTGGCGTTGTGATAGTAGCACTATTATCTTCCGTGGAAGGGGAGTGGTGGTCTAGGTAACAGAGAATTGCTTTGAACGAACCATGGTGCGAGTATAAGATGGAAAAAATATAATTTAAGCTAACTTATGGTGCTGGTTGGTAACACCTCCAACGTTTAGCCCGCTGTAGGAGCCCGCGGACGAGAATAACACCAACAACCAGAGAGGTGAAGAACTTTATCTCTTGATTTAGCAAGTGGGGGGGCTGAGCTGAGTAGTGAGGCGATGATTCGCCCGTTATACACAGTACATGCCCACCAGTATTCCGTATAGGGTCAATGATGCATCCGTAAGGACCCTTCGATCCCAGCAAACGATTGAGCATGAAGGGGAAATGTCGGGAGATTCTCAAAATACCCCGCGGGGGGAACAAGGATCCAATACCGGTATGCCCAACACAACCGCATCAAACAACCTCAAACCCATTTTGTCTAAGAGTTCTCTCATATTATAAGTACAAGCAGATATTGACAGCTATAGATATTGACAGCTATAATTCTCTCAAGCAGGGGGGATATGAAGAAACCGGTATTTCATAGTACCGTACTAGGGGAGAATGAAAATTGGATGGGACTCTCCTAGCGAGGCGAGAGCATCTAGCAAGCTGTTTAGATGTTAGTCAGAGTCTGGGACAGATAGTCGGTGTTGGGCCTGGCTAGTATCACAGTAGTGTTGGTCTCCAGAGCTGCCTCTCGTCTCAAAATTGGATCGGCCATGTGGAGCAAAGTGACGGGACGGCTCCCATGGTGAGCTAAAGTATTATGGTCCATGTACTGTAGATCAAAACAGGTACTAAACCTCCAGGCCCAATTTAATTGATAATAATACCACATTAAATTGCTTATTCCTCAATCCCAAATTGTATATGCCAAGGTAACATCATCCCACGATAATCTCTTATTCCACCGGATGTTGATAAGATAAGTGCTGATCTATACTCGAGTACGGTACGATTGCAGTAAATACCGTATCATACAAGTATCATACATGGCTAACAAAAAGGTCCGAATGCCTTTAGGAGCTGAGAAAGGAATTTGGTTCCTAAAACCCTGGGAATCTAGGATAGTGTTTCCCCCCTCAAAAAAAATGCGCCGCAATAAACGAACAAGCTCCTTCCCTGTATGAGTACTCGAGTACGGTAGGCTCTAGAGGTTCTAGAGGCTCTGGAGGATCCCACGCAGCTGAAGAATTTCAACCCTCAGACGGGAACAGCGCACATGATCAGACCTATGATACAAGGGTAGGGTTTGATAAAAATAAGAACAAAACAAAGGCAGACACAGGCTCGCGTTGCCAGATGTAGTACTAAAAAACAAATTCCCACGCCGCAAGATTCTCCTGATCCTCCATTTGCGTAAGTATGATACCGGTATCTTTCACCCATCCATGGGCCCATCCAGTGTTTTTGAGTTTCCCCTTTCGTCTCTCCCTAAACCGCGGCATTCAACAGTAATCGTCCAATCCGATGCCAACTCGGAGAAGCACTTCACCACCACGATATTTCTTTTCTCACGGCACAGCACCCTAATTCGTTCTCGCTCTCCTCGCGTGTGCAGTTGGCGCAGCTGAACTTGCCTTTTCCTCCCCCACCCCACTCCTTTCCCACGTTTTTCCACAAAGACCCTGCTTACTTTTGCGGCCACGTTTTTTTTCTGACCACATTGCTCCCTTCCTTTTGCTTTCCCGGTTTTCGACCTCGTCCGGCTTGCCGGCAGGAAGGGTATATCCTTTTTCTTTTTTTCCTTCGTTTTCTTTTGTATCTCCCCCCCTCCCCCTCCCACTTTGCCTCTCCATAGCAGTCCCTGCTCCGATGTTGTTGTCCTCAACGAGACAACATTGGAGTGGCAATTGTTTCGTGAAGATTCAAATTCTGTAGGGTAGGTATGATGATGGTGATGGCGGCGACTCCCATCCATTCGGGATATCCCCCATTGCGGAAATTATGCTTGACACTCCCACTCACTTACACATTCATCACCTTTCAATCCCTCCGAACCCACACCTTCCGCGTCTCTACGAGTACTAATGTCTCGGCGATACAAATAAACCACGCCAAAAAGCAAGCAACCCAAGAGCGAGTGATGAGAAGGAACAAAGCCAAAGTGGCGCCGCTAGGGTTAACTATTCCCCGCTAACTCAAGAAACTAAAAGAAGAAAATACAATCGCACTAGAGAGGGAGAGAAAACGAGGGGAAAAAAAGGGAAAAAAAACAACTATACTGACCGGGCCCCCGGATGGCATCAAGAAGGGAGAAAGAAGAAGAAAAAACCAAGCTTGTTTCACATTCGGTAACTGCAAGCCAGGTTTTTGGGTTGCGCCCTTCTTTCGCGTGGTTAGGAGACATATCCAATGATCAACCAGACCGGTCCTCCGGTGCCGTCACTGCTGTGGGATGGATAGACTTGGAGGTACGGGCGACGAATATATGATGGACTGCACTTGTTGTGATACTTGTAGGTACGAGGAGTACACCGTATTGGCTCTTGTCATATCCAGAGAAACAGTTTGGACCCATGAATGTCACTCACTTCACGTCTTACTCGCGCTTTATTTGCAGT